AGGAAGCCTTTGGGAATTCAGGAAAGAAAAAAGGTTGGAAAAATCAGTATCAGGAAAAAGCTGAGGGCTCCTGGAGTAGTGGAGGAGGGTGAATTATGCAAATTGAGGTTATTTTAAAACAAACTTACGCTTTTAATTGTTTTTGCATTAATTAGCAGCACCACTTCAATGTAATTACACAGCATATTCAAAGGCAGGGAGGCTGGCCAGGCTGCATAACAGGGGGTGTTTTGGGCAAACACAGTCCAAGGTTGGTGCATCCACAACCACCATTTACACAGGGATTTGGGAATGGGACAGCTCTGGAATCCAGCTTCACCACTCAGGGTCACACAGACCCCTGAGCCACAGCCCAGAACAACGTGCCACAGAGCTTTGAAAAGCCACTGCAAGCAGAGTGAAGCATCTGGCTTAGCTCCTACCCAGCCAGGAAGAGCTCCAGCACCCTCCTCTATTTGGCTGGGAAAATCTGCCAGGTTTCCCCACCAGCAGAACCCGGTGTGTGCCTGCTGAGGAGCTTTTTCCTGGGAGCAAATGGGAGGAGAAAAGTGGGACTGAGGGCTCCTGGGCCATTCCCAGCTTGCTCCCAGCCTCCAGGGAGCTTCAGCTGCTGTTCCAGAGAGTGAATCCACTGCTGCCATCACTCCAACCACGCCAGTGCCAATGCCAGCAGAGCTGCTGGGGGCATTCCAACATGGAACAATAATTATATCCCACAGGGTCGTACTAACCAGGCTCAGTCATTATTCAATACTCAGGTTTCATTTGTTTTATAAAATATCCCCAGAACTTAGAATTGCTCAACAAAGTTCAGAGTTGTGAAAGGGAAACACAACAGAGGGACTTGAAATCCCTGAGAAGCTCCAGGATTAACTTTATCCCAGAAATTCTGCAGTTATCCAGGTGCTGGGGCCACTTCCTCCAGCATCCAAACCTTCTCCCAGGTGGAAGGTGCTGAAAAAGTCAAGGTAAAGCTCCCAGAAGAAGGGAGCACAACTGGAATTCTCTCTCCTTCCACCCTTGCTCAAGAGAAGATAAGGGTTATGGAGGAGAGAAAGGAAAACACACCCAAACCCTGATTTGGGGATTTCTGACTTCCTGGCCTCTCCCAGATCTCCTGATTTTTGGGGTATTTGACTTCCTTTCCTCTCCTTAGTTCTTCCACTTTTGGCTGTATTTTTACTTCCTTTTTTCTCCCCAAATCTCCCAATTTTCAGTGTCTTTACCTTCCTCTCTCTCTTCTCTTCCTAAACCTCCTGATTTCAGCTGCATTTTACTTCCTCTCCTCTCCCACAAATCTCCTGATTTTCATGTGTATTTTATTCCTCTTCCAAATCTCCTGATTTGGGCTGTATTTCACTTCTCTCCCAAATTTCACTGTATTTGCTTTTTCTCCCTCCCCTCTTCCAACCCTCCAGATTCTGGGTCCTTCCCTGCCTCCCCAGCCTCCTCACACCCCAGCTGGGAAGGATCCAGCTCCCTCTCCACAGGCACAGCCCTTCCCCTGCTCATCACAACTCTGCAGATCTCAAACTGGGGCAGCTCTTTCAATTGAGCTGGGAAAGATGTGTGGAGTCCAAACTTCAGGAAAAATCCATTCCTTTTTTACCAACCCTCTCTGAGAAGTGCAGAAACCACTCAGGGAATGACATGAGACCCTGCAGATCCAGACAGTTTTATGTGGGATAAAAAACCCTTCCTCAAACCATGGAAAAATCTTCATGGACTTTTCCATCGGTTTCTAGTGCCTCAGTGAAAGGATGGTCCCACTGCAGATAATTCCTCCTGGGAATCCCCTGCTCTGCTTTACCTGCACATCAAGAAGGATATGTGTGGGGAGATTCCAGCATTTCCTGGTATTCCCAGGAATCTCCACACTCAGCTTTAGAACCAGGAAATACCTGAGAGAGATTTGCAAGTGACAACCAGGTGCAAACCTGACCTGTGATCAGGTAGATCGAGAGGTAGGTCCAGATCAACATTCCAATTACTCCTAAAAAGCTCCTCACCTGCAGACACACCAGGAAATGCAGGAATTTTCCTGCCATCCAAAGCCAACACTGACCCAAAATCAGCTGCTGCTCTGAGCTCTAAAGCCTCACCTGGTTTCTAACACATTCCAACTGATGACTGTACGATTTCTGGGATACTCCCCCCATTCCATGTTTGCTGATAAGACCAAGCTCAGCCTCAAAGCCCTCAGTGCTTTGGAAAAAATGTCATACAAAAATAAGAGGAAAGAATTATTCTATTCCAGGGAATGTGCAAGTGTTGCTTATTAACACCAAAACAAACACCTGGAGAACAAAGGATTCTCCTGACACGCAGCCAAGAGCTTTTCCATGGACACACCAAGTACAAAGCTCGGAGCAGCTCCTGCAGGGAGCGAAGAAAAAGGGCTAAATAGGAAAGAAAAAGGATTCCTGGAGCAGGATGGTTCCTTCACACATCCTGCTCTAACAGGACCCACTCAGCGCTGCTGTTCAGATCCTCACAGACTCCATCTGTCTCCTCCGAGACAGAAAAATCAGGATAACCAAAAATATATACTCAGACCTTGAAAAGAGAAATCAGCATGAGCAGATGGTTCATCAGCCCTGAGTGGTGCTTGTAAAAGTGTGAGGGCTTGAACAGAACTCCAGAATCCTACACTAGTTTGGGTTAGAAGCTCATCCCAGTCTATCCCCTGACACGGGCAGGGACACGTCCCACTATCCCAGGTTGCCCCAAGCCATGTCCAACTTCGCCTTCGGCATTTCCAGGGATCCAGGGGCAGCCACTCTGCTCTGGGCACCCTGTGCCAGGGCTCTCCACTCTTACAAGGAGGGATTTCTCCCCAGTATCTGATCTCAATCTGTTCCCCCAGCCCTCAGGGTGGGCAGCTTGTGCCTTCTCTGAGCTGCCATCATCACTTCCAGGAACCCCAAAACACAGACCAACCACAGCAAACTCCAGTAAGAGGAATGTACCACCCCTCCTCGAGGGAAATCCTTTTTACCGTTTTACCCCACTCCCTGAGTAGGAATTTCATTCCAGCCCCAGCATTCCCTCCCTTCCATGCCGGACCCGCGGGATGAGCCGTGCCTCTCCCAGTCCCACCGGGTAGGGAGCACGGGGAATTCCATCGGGAAAAGCCCACGGGCCGAATCCCAGGACAGCCCAGAACACCCCCAGCTAGGATGGATAAGTCATGCCCTGTCCCTCGGAAGGGGACCAGGGGACCCTCGGGAGCCTCCTCAGTGCCAGGGGATCCCTCGGGATCCATCTCAGCCCCCCCCCCCCCCCCCCCGGCCCCCCCCCCCCCTTCCCCCCCCCCCCCCCCCCCCCCCAGGGATCCCTCTGGATCTATCTCAGGCCCCCCCCCCAGGGATCCCTCTGGATCTATCTCAGTTCTCTCAGGGATCCCTCGGGATCCACCTCAGGTCCCTCAGAGATCCCTCGGGATCCCTCTCAGCCCCACAAGGGATCCCTCGGGATCCACCTCAGCTCCCCCAGGAATCCATCAGGAACCACCTCAGCTCTCCCGGGGATCCCTCGGGATCCACCTCAGCTTCCCCAGGGATCCCTCGGGAATCACTTCAGCTCCCCCAGGAATCCATCAGGAACCACCTCAGCCCTCCCAAGGATCCCCCGGGACCTCCCCAGCCCATCCAGGGATTCCCCCAACTTCTCCATTCCCAAACTCCTTCCTGAGGGCGGAGAGCTCCCTTTGCTCCCCCAAATTCCTCCGGGAGCGCGAAAAGCCCCATTCCGCTCTGCCCCCGGCCCCTCCTCACCGAGCAGCAGCAGCTTCACCTCCTTGGCCGCCTTCTCGCCGTCTTCCCGCAGGTTGCGGTCGATCATTTTACTCCTCTCCACCGCCGCCTTATCCTCGGCGCTCAGCGTGCACCCCATGGCGGCGGCGGGGGCGGCCGGGCGGCCGAGGGGCCGGGACTGGGACCGGGATAGGAACCGGGATCGGAACCAGGATCGGGATCGGGGCCGCAGCTGCCTCGGCCCGGGCGGCTCCTGAGGCGGCGCCGGATTTCCGGTCCCGGCCGCATGGCACGCCGGGAAATGAAGTCCTGCGGGCTGAGAGCGCGAGCACTTCCGCCTCGGTAGAGCGGGGCATGATGGGAGGAGACACCATTTTCAGCCATCATTTTCCGCCAGGTTCGAGCGGAGCATGATGGGGGGAAAGCGCTTTACTTCCGCCTCGGTAGAGCGAGACACGATGGGAAACACCCTACTTCCGGTTCTGCTGGGCGGGCATGATGGGAGTTGTAGTTCTCCTGGCGGCCCCAGACCCCCAGGGCTCCCTCATGAGGGGGCGCAGGCTCCGCACCCCCAGAGGGCCGGGCTCGGCTAATGGGAGCGGCTTTGCGGGACTAAGGAGGGCTCTCAGGGCCATGGGGGGATGGAGGGGACCCCTCCTCTCCCTGGCTGTAGAGGGACCCCCCCTCCTGGAGAGACCCTAAACACGAGCGCCCCACTCTCACCCCTGGCCCATCACTGGGCTTGTGCCCCCAGTGCTGCCCCGGGACCCCCGATCCCCGCGGTGGCGGCCGTGCTGACCCCCCAGTGCATCAACCCAGCGAGGGTGGTGGGACCTCCCCCATCACCTGTGATGGCAGCAATGGGGACCCTCCCACACTGCGATGAGAATGGTGGGACCCGCAATCCCCCATGGCAATGAGGACCCCACAGACATCAGCACGAGTCGTAGGACACCCACTGTGGTGACAGAGACCCCCCGCAAACCTCAACGAGTGCTGTGGGACCCCCAATCCCCCACAGCAGTGAGAATCACTGCCACTCCAGCAGACCCCCAACTCTCCATGGCTGCAGCAAGGAGCCCGCACCCCACCACCCCAGTGGGCCTTGTGGGCCCCCCCAGTTCCCTGTGGATGCAGTGAGGACCCCCCACCCTCCGTGGCAGTGTGGTACTCCCAGCCCAGAAGCACCGTGGGGCCTCCAACCCTCCATGGCGCTGACAAAGCCCCCCTCAGCAAGTCACTGTGACCATCTCTCCCCTCAGAGCCACGTTTACCCCAAACCCCCCCAAACGCTACAGCCCCGCTTTGGCAGAGCCCGCCACGGGCACAAACACCCCGCTCCCCCCGCCCCACTCCATCGCCTCGGCCGCCTCCTCCTCGATCTGCCCCGGAATGCGGAAATCCACGGGGGGCAGGTCCCGCTCGCGGCTGGGGGGCTCTGGTGGGCGCCCAGTGCTCTGGAGGAACTGTAGGAAGTTCTCCTCGATGGAGCCCTCACGGCTCGGCAGCCGCAGGTCCTCCTCCGGGGGCTGCTTGAAGAAGCAGGTGAGCAGCCGGCCGAGCTCCCCGCGGATCTGCCGGTTGAGGCAGCCGTAGAAGAAGGGGTTGGAGGTGAAGCAGCAGAACCCCAGCCAGGTGACCACAGTCTCAGCCGCCGGCCCGGCCAAGGGCCGAGTGCTCAGCGCCGTGTACAGCTGGAAGGAAAAGTAGGGCAACCAGCAGAAGAGGAACTGGCCGCCCACAGCCAGCAGCACGGCGGCCGCCTTGCCCCCACCAAACATCCTCTGCGGGGTGGTCCGAGGTGCCCCCGAGGTGGTGACCATGGTGGAGCGGCTGCTCAGCGACGCCGAGCGCCGGCGCGGCGTCTCCATCCAGGTGGGCGGCGGGCCGTGGTGCATGGCTGCCACCCGTGCCACCTTGAACATGCCGCAGTAGACCACGACGATGATGAGGAGCGGCAGGACGAAGTAGAAGGCGGCGAAGAAGACCACAAAGACCTTGCAGGATGGCCCGCGGCTCCACTGCAAGGAGCAGCCACGAGCGCCAGACGTTGGCGGGCGGTCGGGGGACAACCAGCCCAGCACGGGCACCAGCGAGGTGGCCACAGCCTTGAGCCACACGCCGGCCAGCACTCCGGCCACCAGCCCCACGGTCATGCGCACCTCGTAGCGCAGCGGGTGCACCACGTAGTAGTAGCGCTCCACGTTGACGGTGGAGATGGAGAGGATGCACATGGAGGTGAGGCAGACGCTGAGGAACAGGTACACGCGGCACACGGCCTCGCCCAGCCCCGGGCTCTCGAACACGGCCGAACCCGACAGCATCTCCAGCGGCATCAGCGTGAGGGCGGCCAGGAAATCCACCAGGCACAGGTGGAACACGAAGACGAACTTGCGGAGCGCCGGCGTCTTGGCGATGACCGTCATGACGGCGGCGTTGCCCACGATGGCCGTGAGGTCCAGCAGCACCATGAAGAACAGCCCCACAGACTTGGAGGCCACGTCCTTGGGCTTGGCCTCGGCAGTGCTGTTGGGGGGCCGGGACCCCCCTCTAGAGCCATTCCAGCCCCACGGGGAGGGCAGGAAAGGCTCCATCCTGTGCCGCCGGCCTGGCGGCGAGCTCGGCGCAGCCGGGCATCGCCAGAGGGTCACATCCTTGGTGGGCCGCGGGTGGGGGGGCTGCTGTGGGGGTGGCACTCAGAGTACCCAAAGGTGCCCCCCAGCCCCGCTCATGTCCCCGCTGCTCAGCCAGGGGGTACCTGGGCGAGGTGGAGCTGTCACTGGAGGGGGCAGGACCCTGGAGGACCTCTGAGCGCTGAGCTGGACCCCCAGGTGCAGCCCCCAGGTACCTGGGGGGAGGTGGAGCTGTCAGAAAAGGGGGAGAGATTCTGAGGGGACCCCTTAGAGCTGAGCAGGACCCCCCGTTGCAGCCCCCCCCGGGTATCTTGGGTGAAGGTGGAGCTGTCATGGGGGGAAATCCTGGGGGGGAATCCTGAGAGCCCAGGAGAGTCACAGGTCACCTCTGGAAGCCATAGCAGAGGTCACAGCTGGGCTGGGGGAATGTGGAGTTGTCATGAGAGGACACAACCCTGGGGGGACCCCTGAGAGCTGAGCTGGACTCCCACCTGCATCCCACAGGTACCTGGGGGCAGGTGGAGCTGTCAGAAGAGGGGGAAAACCCTGAGGGGACCCCTGAAAGCCGTGGTGGGATCACAGCTGACCCTTGAGTGACACAGAGTGGGTCTCAGGCCAGTTGTGACCCCCATCCACAGCCCCCAGGCAGCTGGGGAAGGTAGAGCAGCCAGAGGGGACAGAAAGTTCTGGGGGACACCCGAGATCCCAGGCAGGGTTCAGCACAGCTGTGACCCCCCCTCACATAGTCCCCATCAGCCCCTATCCATCTCCACAACCCCCTACATCAAATCTCTTCCCCAACCAAAAGCCTTGTTCCCCAAAAAATGAGCAGTTCTGGGGTAAACCCCCCTAATTCCAACGTTTCAACCCAAAACACCCCAGTGGAGCCCTTTACCCAGAGTGTGGGGACCACACGGTGGGCCGGGATGGGTGGGGGGGGTCCTGAGAAGGAGGGGAGGGGAGGGCCCAGCACCCCCAAGTCCTGGGTTCACCCCTTGTGCTTGGAGGCCTTGTGTGACCCCCCACCCCGAGCTCACACCCCCTCCGTGGGACAGGAGGGGGATGTGGGGGCTACCCCGGGCCCCCCGCGTGTTCCCCACGGGGGCGGGGGTCCCCACCCTGCCCCCCCAGGGAGGGATGCTGACGGAACGGGGGCGCAGCCGCGGCTCCCCCCTCCCCCTCTCACTGCCCATTTCCCTCGCCCGGACCCCCGAAGCGATGTCACCGCTTGGGGACCCCCTCCCAGCCCCGGGGCAGTCTCCCCCACCTCCCGGTACCTCCCCACCTTCCCAGGCCGTGGCCCCGGCGGGGCTGCTCGGCCGCGGCACCTACCCTGGGGGTCTGCATGGAGCCGGCCTGAGGCCGGGGGTCCCCGCTCCGGCCGGGGGATGCTCGGGGCTGGGGGGTGTCCCCGGGCTGCCGGGGGATGCTCGGGGCTGGAGCCGCTGCGGCGAGGGCTGCTCCGCACCGCCCGGCTGCTGGGTCCTAGTGCCGCCCGGCTCGCCTCGGTGCCCCGGGAGCGCCCCGAGCCCGCGGCCGCGGCCCCGCAGCGGGCAGCTCGCTGCCGCCCGCAGCCCGCCTGTGCCCCCGCCCCGGGCAGCGGAGCGGGGCACACCCCCGGCTGCTGCCCCGCGGGTTGCTCCGTGCCTCAGTTTCCCCGTTTGCCTCCCGAGAGCGATGGGAAGGGCACGGGGCCGTGGCCGGGGGGAGAAGCCCCTCGGGGAAGGGAAAGGGGGAGCTCGGGGGGTGTAGCGGGAGGTGATCTGGGGGGCAGCGGTGGGAAGGAGGGATGGGGTGCAGAATCGCAGTGGGGAGCACTGGGTGGGGGTGCGGAGGGTGCCGGGGTGGGCTCTCAGAGGGGCCGCAGAGCCCCCCCCAGCTCTGCCTACCCCCACCCCAGAGCCCTTTCCTTGCTCCCAGTTCAGCAATGGAGCAAACGGGATGGGGTCAGTGTCCCTCCCCACCATGCCATGCCCCGTGCCTCAGTTTCCCCAGGCCATTCCCTTCCAGAAGGGATGCCCATCTTTTCCGTCCCTCCAAAATCCTGCTCGGGCTTCGAACTTTCCCCCTGCAGTGCCCTGGCCCCCATCCCACGGGTGCCCGGGTGGGATGCGTGGCCAGCAGATCCCATTCCCGGGGTGGGGGGTGACAAGTGATCCGTGGGTGACGTGTGTCCCCGCGTCTCACGTGGCCATTGCCAGGCTACGGGCTCCCAAAAATAAATCCACCCAAACCAGATTAGAAACGCCCGACCTCGGATGAACCAGCCCCGGCATTCCGGGGCCCGCGGGCGGCTCCCGGTGGGACGCGGGGCACCGGGAACAGGATTCCCGGTGAGCAGGAACACGGCGGATCCACGGGGCTCCGTCCTGCCCGGGCTCCGGAACCTGTGGCAGAAGTAGAGCACGGGAGTGAGTCCTGGTCCACAGAGTGGGGGGACACACGGAACCCCCCCCTTTTCCTGGGAACCTCTTGTGGGCACCCTCCACGTGTGTGGAACACCTGAGGACACCCTGCCATGGCAGGCACCCCGCTCTGGTACCCCTGGTATCCCTGACACTGCTGGCAGCCCACACCCCAGTTCCCAGGCACCCCACTATCCCAGCCCCTGGCATCCCAGTACCATTATTTTGGCACCCCAGCACCCCAGTCCCCAAGCACCCCCCTGTCCTGGCACCTTGGGACCCCAGCACCTCAACATCCTGGCATCCCAGTACTCAATACCTTGGCACCCCAGTACCTAGCAAATGGCACCCCAGTACCTCGGCACCCTGGCATCCGAGTCCCCACACTGCATCCCCTGGTACCTCAGTATCCCAGTGCCCTGGCACCCCAGCAACCAAACATTCCAGTGTCCCTGAGCGGTGGAACCCCAGTACTTCAGTGTCCTGGCACCCCACTATCCCAGCCCCTGGCATCCCAGTACCATTATTTTGGCACCCCAGCACCCCAATCCTGAAGCACCCCTCTATCCCAGCACCTTGGCCTCCCAGCACCTCAGCATCCCTTCATCCCAGTACCCAGTACCTTGGCACCCCGGTACCCAGTACCTTGGCACCCCAGTACCCAGTACCTTGGCACCCCAGTACCCAGTGTCCTGGCACTCCAGGATCTCAGCGCCATGGCACCCTCAGACTGCTGACACCCCAATCCTGCTACCCCAGCACTCCATTACCCCAGGACCCTGGCACCCCAGCAATCCAACACCCCAGGCCAGTGGTACCTCAGTGTCCTGGCACCCCAGAACCACAGTAGTCTGGTCCCCCAGGTACCTCAACATTCTGGCACCCCGGCACCCCAATCCTCCAGGCTGTCCACCCCCCAGCAGCCCTGACCCCAGCCCCTGGCACCCCAGAGCCCCAACACCCTGGGGTACCCATCCCCCAGCACCCCAATAGCTCAGTAGCCAAATCCTCCAGTACCTTGGCACCCCAGCACCCAACGTCGTGGAACCCCAGCACCAAGACACCTCAGCACCCCAACACCCCGGGGTACTGGTGTCCCAGTGCCCACCCCTGGCACCCCTGTACCCCGTCCTGTCCCCTCTGCAGAGCCCCTGCCAGACATGGGTAAACACGTTCACACCTGTGTGTGTGTGTGTGTGTCTGTCTGTGTGTGTGTGTGTCTGTGTTTCTGTGTCTGTGTGTGTCTCTGTGTGTGTGTGTGTCTGTGTCTCTGTGTGTCTGTGTGTGTGTGTGTGTGTGTCTGTGTGTATGTCTGTGTGTGTGTGTGTCTGTGTCTCTGTGTGTCTGTGTGTGTGTGTGTGTGTGTGTGTGTGTGTGTGTGTGTGTGTGTGTGTGTGTGTGTGTGTGTGTGTGTGTGTGTGTGTGTGTGTGTGTGTGTGT